TGTAAATGCAAGGAGATAAATAGGTACAGTGGACCCTCTACTTATGGAATTAATCCCTATTGGAATGGTGGCTGTAGGTCAAAAAGTCTGTAGGTCAAGTCTCCATTGACCTACAATGCATTGAAACCCGATTAATCCGTAACCAGCCATTTTTGTTCCGTTTTTGTTCCATTTTGTTTTTTTTCTGGTCTGTAAGTCAATTCTCTGGCTGCAAGTCGAACCTAAATTTTGCGGCCAGAGAAGTATGTAACTTGAAAAGTCTGTAAGTCGAGCCGTCTGTAAGTCGAGGGTCCACTGTACCACCTCAGTGGGAAGGTACCGGCATTCCGCATCTAGTCGTGCTGGCCACGTGACCACGGAAACTGTCTTCAGACAAACACTGGCTCTATGGCTTGGAGACAGGGATGAGCACTGTGCCCTAGAGTCGGACATGACTGGACTAAATGTCAAGGGCAACCTTTACCTAACAGCAGAAGCTGTCTTACGGTGCTAATAAGGCGCTAAGTGGAAATTTCCACCTCTCCTTTTAATATAGGACTAAGTGTGTCACCAAAACTCTGTTCCAGCACTGAGTTGGGGAAAGAAGGGAGGGAGGGAGGGAGGGAAGGAGGGAGGAAGAACAAAAGAACAAAAGAAAGAAAGAAGGAAGGAAGGAAGTGATCTGACAGAAAGCAGACAAAAGTGACATCAACTGGATCAGAACAAATGTAAACCACTCTGCAAAGAAAGAAAGAAAGAAAGAAAGAAAGAAAGAAAGAAAGAAAGAAAGAAAGAAAGAGATTCAGTGGAGACCAGGTGTGTGTGGTTAAGGGAAACCGGCATCCTGTGAGTGCCCTGTTGCATCAGATCAGGTGATCACACTGGGAGAAAGCAGACAAAAGTGACATCAACTGGATCAGAACAAATGTAAACCACCCCTGCCAGCTTATAAAAAAGCCATTCTATAATGGGCTTTCCTGCATTGAGCTTTACCTTGTGTAGTCACCAGATTTTAATTCAAATTCATTTGTGTCCAATCTGATACAAAGTTCACGGTAAATGGCCAATGGAGTCATCCTCTGAGCTGTCCAGCCAGCAATAGTTACATGCCAGAGAGAGAATTTGTAGCCTTCCAGCTGTTGTGCAACTGCAGCCCCCATCAGATCCAGCCAGATAGCCAATGATGACAGCTGATGGGAGCTAGAGTCCAACAGCATTGGGAGAGCCATACAGTGCCCATCTGGACTAGCATGTTACTATGCACAACTGGGGCACAGACCCTAGCAAGAAAATCCAACTTGATTTGGGTGCCATTTTCAAGATCCATAAGCAGAAATAATTCCACAGTCCACATTAAATTAGTCCAAAGTTGTTGTTGTTTTTTTTAAAAAAGCCCTGTCTGTCCAAGCAACAAAAAACATCTGCACATCCCCACCCACAAATATCTTAGAAGAGAGTATCTATAGGGCATCTCTTCTCTGTTGGGTATCCAGACAGTTAAGGGGCATAAGCAGGCCCTCTGTTATTGATATCCTGGGACCAGCCGGGTCAGCTGGTCTTAAAACCGTTGAAATTTAAGACCAGTACTTTGAATTGGACCAGAATGCAAACTGGTAAGTAGCAGAGCTGACGCAACACCACCAGAATGACATAATCAGTCAGCCTTCCCCATCAGACAGCAATGCACTCTGAACCCAATAAAGCTTCCTCGCACATTCTAAGGGAGCCCTATCGCTTTAATCTAAAATGGGACATGATTAGGATATGGATGACCCTGGTGGACTTCTTAAATGAGAATCATTTAAACCAGAAATCATGACCATACAGGACAAAGAGACAGTTTCAAATGATTCAGGGAGTCAAGCTGGGGCACCAGGCAGGGCGGGGCATGTGCAACAAAGAGAACATGAGCACAAGAAGAAATAGACAATGGTCCTGGCCAAGATAATCAAAGTCTTGTGATCTGTTTGCAAACCCACGTGGTTCCCTAAACTACTAGGATCATCATTATCATCCAAGGGAACAAAGGTGCTTCTTGACAGAAGGACGATATGCTCAACTTTCATAACAAAGTCCACCTTAAGGCAGGGGAAAGGGTGGTTTCCTCCTACTTCAAAGTAACTTATCCAGCTATGGTTGTCCAGATCATTATCTTCTTCAAACAAAAATGCTACCCGACAGAGAGACATTAAGTGGATCCTGCCCCAAAGAGGTTACCAATTGGAGAAGCAAGGAAAAACAAATAAACAAAGTGTGCATGTTCTGAAATAGGGCAGCCATGGGACAAAGTGAGACAGCATATGAAGGGTCATGTTTTAGTATTAATTTGAATTAGCAATTTGGGACCCAAAAGCAAGAGAAGATATCCAGATATCCAAGCTCTCTGTCCCAAGATATCCAAGCTCCAGATTACTGGAGCTTGGTTAACAAGGAATGAAATTAACCATCCTTGTTCAGATCTTGGAAAAGTTACAGTATTGTATCACAACTCGTACTGGCTGGTGGATTCTGGGCCCTGTAGTTCAAGGATATTAACTTTTATTTGTTTTCTATGGGTTTTTTTTTTCCTCTGTGAGATAGAAACAAGGGAAAGAGAGTGAGTGATAAAGAATTTCTGCCCTGTCTGTTCTCTCACCTGGATTTTGTATAAACTCTGGAAAAGCATAGGGACTTCTGCCTTCTTCCTATTTCTCAGACTAGTTCCAGGCTTCAGGGGACTAAAAGTCAAGAAAGGTACTTTTGCCCAAGGTGGTACAGATGGCAGGGCAAGTAAAACGCCCCCCCCATAAGTTGCCCACACTCCAGTTGATCTCTGTTGACCCTTCTCAGAGGACGTATAGCAGGCATTTGAAGTCCCACCTCCAGAGCCACATCAGCAGGAATCTATTTGTTTCATAGTCTTTGAACTCTTTAGACGTTGTTATTTAAATTATATATATGCCAATGTGACTATTTGGGAGCCAGTGTGATGGAACTGATAGTGTCAAAATAGACACTAGGAGACTATGGTTTCCAGTCCCCATTTGGCCTTGGAAACTCATTTGGGGGTGGCAATGGTAAACCACTCCTTGAACATCACACGTACTTCAAAATCCCTTAGGGATTTTGCCATACATGGGGGGGGGGGAAATGTCACGGTACATAACACACATATATGATTACTTTAATCTTCTTCAGGGTGGCAATGGTAAACTACTCCTTGAACATTACACGTACTTCAAAATCCATTAGGGATTTTGCCATACATTGAGGGGGGGGGGAATGTCACGGCACATAACACACACATATGATTACTTTAATCTTCTTCACCTTTATTTCTGTTTTTAATATTAACATTCATAGTCTGTGCCACAGCCAATGTCTGGTTTTGTTTCTGCTGAGAGAATATCAGCACATCCTGTTTTGATAAACACTTAACTTCCTCCTGGACACTTGAATGAAAGCTTTCAACTTCATCTCTGTCAGCATCTGTAGCCGGACCATAGAACTGAAGTCTGACTGATATTATTTGGTCCTTCCGTTCTTTATCATCCATAAATGCTTGTGCTACATCATGTCTATTAGGCTGTTTTTTTTTCTTTTTGAGATTTTCATTTCCAAGTATTATACCATTTGAACATTGCATTGAACATTCCATTCCTTTGTATAAGCATGCCTTTCAACTTCCTACAATAATAATAACCATAGGACATCAAGCAGACTCTAATGGCCCCCTTGCCAGTATAAAGTACTCAGAAATGGTGTACCAGTTTCTCTTCTTGGGGGCGCTCTGGGGCCATGCAGCTTGCCCAGGGTCACAGGGATGCAAGGCACTTAACACCCATCAGCCACATACTGTATGCGCCAAGTGACCTTGGCTATCTTTGTCCCTGGAGGCATCAGTGGGATTCAAACTGCTGGCCTGGGTGGGCCAACCCACTGAGCTTCACCAGATCTCTTCCACGCTTGTCATGTGCTGCCACGTCGCTTCTACCATAGCGAGGCCCTAGCAGAGGCAGGTGATATTTAAGGCGTTGTTTACTCCCGCCATCCTTCAGAAAGAATCTTCACCGCCAAACAGGGACTTGAACCCAGGTCTATTAGGCTGGACTTTCCCCTTTCTCTCCCCTTTCTCTCCGCGCCTCAATCTCGCCTATACAGGTAGGGGTTTGTGTGTGTGTGTGTGTGTGTGTGTATACATACATATATATATATATATACATACACACACACAAACACATATATATATATACACAGACATATATACACACATACACACATACACCTGTATATGTATGTATATATGTATATGTACCTATATATATATGTACCTCTGTGTGTGAGAGTGTGTGTATACACATACATACATACATACATACATACATACATACATACATACATACATACATACATACATACATACATGTAAAGATAAAAAAGAACAAATGAAAAGGACGATAACGGTGTGGCACCTTAGAGACTTATATTTTTCAAGGTCGCGTTGAAGGCTGCAGATCAGAATAGCAATGAAATTTTCAAAGGAAAAGGAAAGCCTCTTACTGAGTATTCCTGACACCCCCAATGCCCCCCCAATGCCCCACAAGAGCCGCACCCGAGCTAGTAGCTGCTCCCTCCGCCACCCCCCTTTGCCCCCGGGGGCGCGAGGCGCCTGGGCGGCCGCCTCCTCCTTTTCCTCCCCGCGGAGCCGTGGCGGCCGTCTTTTCCTTCCGATCGAGGCTTGGGGGGGGGGGGGTTTGAGAGCCGCCAAACAAACCCCAACCGGCGGGGATCCTTGCTCAACTCTCCGCGCCCAGAGC